TATACCTTATAGAAAAATCCAATGCGTTGAGGGATTTTCAAAGCTGCGCACAGTATGGATAAAACCGTATTATTACAAACTGCATCAATCAACGGGTCGTGATATCCATCAAAAAGTGCTTCTCGCACAGTGACCTAGAAAAACAAAATTTCAAATGGCAAAGGCTCAACAGTTAGCATAGATACTTACGTTAACAAACGGCATTTCGCCCATTACTCTCAAGACAGCCTCAATGGCGATTTTTGCTGGGAGACTTGTTGAAGCATAGTCAACTAGTTTCTTAAATCACTACTTAAGTATCAAACATTGATTATTATTATTGCTAATCGAGTCTTAAGGAAATTGTACCTGAAAGATAACATTAGGTAGAATAACTCTCTGGCTCAATGAGCATGTTGGACATGAAAGGGATGCATTGTAGGTGTACACATGGTTTGTACGGTAGAAAATCCTCGTATCATTTTGCTCGAATTTGTAGTAGGACTTCCACTGGTTTTCGCTGAAATTTAATGTGGTTCCTTACAATGGTTTTATCAAAAATTATATACTTGCTAGAATCAAGACGTACACAAAAGTGAATGGCCCTATTTCTCTCACTCTCGGCTTGGATCCTCGAAGAACATCCTCTAGGTTTTCCAGGTGGAATATCCAAATTTGCTGTAGCATGTAATATTCCGGATGCATCCATGACTTTGTCATGTCGTTGAGAGTTTTGGTGCCATTTATTACGTCGTAACCCAGATGATCTCTCTGAAAACGTAAACAATATTGCGCATATCTTCAGGCGACAAAGTAATTTTAGCTCTATAAGTAAGAAATATAGAACACTCTTAATCAGTTTCAAATCAACAAAGCTTTTGAATTCCAAATGAGTTAGCTGTTTAAAACAAAGATTGATGTGGATGTTATGCACTGTAAAACTGCACTATCATATCGTGGTATAATTTACCTTCAAGTAGACTACTGATCACTACCGCGGGCACGATGATGGCGACCAACAGTAAGAAGGCAACCATTGAATACAATAATTGCGGGAAATGTACTTAAAATGCAGCTTACAGTACATTGCAGCCGCGTGCACAATTTTGGGAAATTGCCTACTCTAAAGTAAGTTTAGCTACCGTAGAACTGAATAAATGAATCTTGAAACTTCAGCAAAGTTCTGATGCAAATAATACTCTTTAAGAGGCATACACTTTCCTGAAACATGATCATTGGCGCGCAGAAGCATGTTGGCAGAGTCTTCAAAAACTTATTTTAATATATCCCTCATTTTCTTAGCAAAGTATTATGATGATAACGCATGTGGAACAAAAAACTTTTGCTTTCTTGCCGATTACCTAAATGTTCATTTTCATGGCGAATCTCAGCGATACAATCGATCCAAAGTCCCTAATGGTATCAACTCCGACACTTCAAAGAAGTGGTAATGGTCTTTGATATGAGATGGTTGCTGGTGAGAAGAAAAAAACTGATCTTTCGTTCAGATTCAGGCATATTTTAAGGAAAAAATAACAAGGATGAAATAATCCCTTCAAAGATCCTTTAGTCATTATCTTAGTTTTCCATCCTTCGTGATATACTTCCACACTGGAGAGCTAGGAAGTCTTTTTATCAATAAATATACGATGTGAATACATACATATTTTGTAAAAGGTCAGCAGATTTGTGCGTCATTGGAAATTTGCCTGACTTACTAACTC